GCTAGGGCCAGGCCCCCTATGACTGCATGTAGAGAGATCAAGGGCCAACATTACTTTGGGTAGCTTTAGTCTTTTTTTGGTTTGGGCCAATCCTCAAATTCATGGTCCTCCTGTCTCAGCCTCCCAAGTAGAGGTGCACAGCAGTATACCTGGTTTCTTCAGGACCTTTTAATGGTCACTCACCATTGATTTCTGTATCTGACCTAATATCCTCTTGACTACGAGGTGTAACTCTTGGACTGTATTCTGAAGCTTAGCCACCCTCTCACTTCTACCAACTCTTGTAATGCTGTACAACAGAGATGTGATTTGCATTGACATCTTATAGGCACCACCTCTTCCATGGAGCTTTTCCTAGTCTCTTCTAGTACATTTCCCGAGATGCTCCTTGTCTTAGTTCCCACGCTATTACACAGCAGGCAAGGGAGGGCCAGGCTGTATTTCCTGGCTACCACTGTATTTCCTGCGCTATAAGGAAATTTAAATAACAATGACATCTGATTGTTATTACCTGCTCATAGTAAAATTCACTCCGCACCAACTCATTTTCTTCCTCATTCAGACCCAAAATCCATTCCACCTCAGCTGCTTTGGGCACTTTCACCATGGCTGAATATGGAAGACTTTCAGTCTTTGCACTGTCAGGTACTAAGAACAGAATCATTATTTGTGTGTCAGTCCCTTGCTGGTAGCACACTCTGGCCTAGTCCAGCAAGCTGGTGTCTGCTGCAGGCAGATACTGTTTTCTGTACGGTGGTCCTTTGGTCCACTCTGTTTTCCCTATCAAACCCTATGAAACACCTGAAGCCTTCCCTAGACACAGACCTGAGATAAACATCACGGTGTTTATTACAACCCTGTTGCATCACATAAAAGACCCTGAAAAGTGCATGCTTGTCACTTGGAAGCGTAGTCACTGGATACTCTAAAAACTAACCTGAGGATGAAGGACAGAAGCCAGGATCTAGCTGTGACTACCAAAAGAGAGGGAGGCGGCAGAGTGCTGGAATGGTGGTGATGAACTCCACAGGAAAGGGAAGAGTCTATTAAAAGCTAAGACCAAATTGCTGCCTTTTCAATGCTGCTTGAGGCTGACCAGGAAGTTCCTCATACAGGTGACAGACTTTGGCTCTGACTGTGGCATTGGGACTTCCTGCAGCAGAAGTTGGCTAGGGCTGGTGGCAAAACAGAGGACTTTTATAGCTTAAGCTCAGATCATGGATGGCAGGACATGGCCTCAGGAGGTGGCTCTGTGTGACAGGTTAACATGATGAACTTTAAGGGAAAGAGGTTGATAGGAGAAGAGTTTTCTATGGCAAACAAGTTAGATGGAGTTTACCAATCAGTGTATTACTAGATACAAAGATAGAGGAATTCTGAGCATGTAAACAAATCATCAGGTCTTACCTTCTGGTTGGCCTGGATTCTCCTCCGATGTACTGGAAACAGAAACACAAAATAAATGCTGGAACCCTTCCTTTCCCTCTTGAAGTGCAGGACACTGATATTTACTGAAGATACCGTAACTCCTTTCTCTTCCTGATGACAGCCAATCTCTCACCAGAGAGATTGACATCTGATTGTTATTACCTGCTCATAGTAAAATTCACTCCGCACCAACTCATTGGTGTCCCTTGCCACTCTTTTGTCCCTGCCTAAGGGAGGGCCCTTGCATTTATTGCTGCAGTCTGCAGTACATTCTGGGTTGGTTTCCTAGATGCTGCCCACCTGTTCTCCACTTTGTAGCCATAGCAAGTTTTTAAAAAAGCAAACCTGATCACAATTTGCTCTTCCTTAAAATCAATTCAGTAGCTTCTAGCTTCTCAGGGTAAAAACATCGCACATCCACAGTGCAGTAGACAAAGCCCTTTTTGATGTGGCCTGGCTCCATCCAAAGGCCATGTTCTGCCATCCATGACCCTGGGCTCAAGCTAAAAAAATCCTGTTTTGTCAGTGGTCCTGGTCAACTGTTGCTGCTAAGCAAGAAGTCCCAATGTCACAGTCAGAACCAAAATCTGTCACCTGTATGAGGAACCACCAGGGCAGTCCCAGTCCATGATGTCAGAGGGCAAGTCCAAAGTTTTGTGCCATCGATTAAGTTCTCCCAATTCAGCTACCAATGGCTGAATCCAGGGTCCACTGACCAGAACCTCATCTCCTCACCTATTTACAGCTCTACAAGCCATCCACACTTCTCTCCTGCCACGCCTTTGGTATTATTCCACCCCGGGTGTGCTCTTTGTGGCTTTTCCTGACCCACTCATCCTCTAAAGCTCATCTTCTAAGGGTTACCCTCCTGAGCACTCAGGCTAAGCTGTGAGTGCTTCGCTAATGCTCTGGTCCAATCACCTTGTGGCCTGTTGGTTTGCCATCTCCCCAGTAAGAGATAGGGGCTGAGTGATTGTGGGTAAAAGAACCCCCACCTGCATTAACTGCCCATTGCAGATCTCAGCACTATGGGTAATTTCTGAACTGCACCGGCAGGAGGTACATGCCAGGGTCACGGAAACTGCAGAATAAGTACAGTATGTCTTCCTACCTAAGCCATTGTAATCATCACAGCAAATAATGATCAAAAATGTTCATATTAAAATAAACACAAGGGCCGGCCAAATAGCTCAGCAGATTAAAGTGCCTGCAAGCACGCACAGGAGCCAGGGGTTTGCCCCTGGGGCTTGCTGAGATGGCAATTGAGATTGGGCATGGTGGCGTGCGCTTATAATCCCAGCTCTTGGGAGGCTATAAACAAGTGGATCACTATAAGTCCTATCTAGTAGTAAGATCCTGAATACCCTGTAGACCCTTCCCTAAATTACAAAATAAATAAAATAAAATAAAATACACACAAGCACGTGTCATGGCACATACTTTTAACTTCAGCATTTTGGAAGGTTCAGGCAGGAGGATTGCAAGTTTGTTCCCAGCCTGGATAACTCAGTGTGAGATCTTGTCTCAACACAAGAAAATTTTAAAAAAGGGCTGGAGGTCCAAGCTCAGTGTGGAGGCCCAGGGTTTAATCCCGAGTACTGGAAAACAAAACAAAACACCCCACAAAAATGCTACTGACCTGAATGCAAAACCTAGTCAAGCCCATTAAATACAATAAAATACGGAGAACTTAAGTAATTTTGTCTTTTAAATAGTTGCTTTGGCCCATCTTCCTTGTGCTTTAGGAGTCTTAGTTTCACGCTAATTTGGTACTAGAAGTAGGAAGAGTTTAGCAAGACTGAGCCGGTAACCTGAGCTTGATCCGTCTTGCCAGTGGCATGAGTAGCTGGTGACTCTCCACAGATGCATTATGTGTAGGAAGGCACAAGGGCTTTTCTAATTGTAGCAACAAGCCAGCGTGACTCCTCAGATCAGAGCTGATGCAAGCGATGCCCAAATAGCTAGCGGGTACGGACATGTCCCTTTCAGTCAGATGAGACTGAGTGATGCAAGAGAGGCTAGAAAATCAGTCAGGGGTGAAGAAAGAGCCGTGGACTTAGGCGGGAGATGGGGTGAAGAGATGAGTCCGGATTTCAGAAAATACAGCATATAAGAACTTTGAACGCTGCTTCCTTTTATCCCTACTTCCTCTTGGGAGTTTCTGTGACTTATGGTTTACACCCAAAATGTGCCCCCCGAAATCCCATATGTTCGGAGGTGGGGCTTTTGGAAACTATTGGATTATGAGAGCTCTCACCTTATCAGTGGATTATGTTGATGAGACTGAGCTTTGATGGCCTTTTTGACAGATGCCAGACACAGGAGGCGGGGCGTAGTAGAAGAGAGCAGGTGGTGGGGACATGACATTGGGAACCATATAGAACCTGGCCCCCTCCTCTGGTTCTCTCCCTTTTTTATGCTTCCTGGCTGCCATCAGGTGAACAGAATGCCCTTCTGCCATGATATTTCTGCCCGGAGCCAGATGACCATGGACTGCAATATCTGAAACCAACTGCCTTTGAAAATGAGCTAAGATAAAGCCTTAGGTTGATTTTTCTCACGTATTTGGTTACAGCAATGCAAAAACAAATAGCACAGAAGCCTAGGCCAGCCTACAAACATTTCAGTGTGTAGTTAATGGCACTAGAGTGAATGTGGATATTTCTGTGAAGTGTTCCAGGTCGGCAAGTTTCTCCACAATGAGACTCTCGGCAGTAGAAGGCCCCAGGGGAGGGTGTAGAAGTCCCAAAGAACATCAGCCCTGCTGCAGGACACTCACTCTTGGTTGTAGTAACTGTAGCACTGGTCACACACGCGCGTAGGGTTCTCTCGGCAGCCTTCCACCACCATTTTCTTAGTGGAGCAGGAACTACACACTAGGCGGCCACAGCGGCGACAATGATGACGCCTGTTAAACTGAGGAATGCCGTTGGGTTTGAAGCGAGAGGGAGAAAGTGAAGATAAGACTGTTGTCAGCCATTTTCACTTGGTTTTAAACATGTGTGGCTTATAAAGACCACCGAGTACCATACTCAGGCCTCTACTGAAAATGCTCCCTCCGCCCCCATCCCTATACTCAACAAGTCTTAAGATGCTTTAAGATGCTGCTCAGCAAGTGGGCAAAGGCTCCAAGTCATGGACAGTTTTGCAATCAACAGCTCCTGACAAATTTTACTTGTGTGGTGGTGGCAACTTTGGAAATAACAAAGTAACAGGGCAGGGGCCAGGGAGATGCCTCAGTAGAATAAGTGCTTAGACCCGGCAAGCGCAAGGGCCTGAGTTCAACCCCCAGTTCCGCCAAAAAAAAAAAAAAAGAAAGAAAGTAAAAGGGCAGAAATGATTTTCTGAGCCAGTAAAGATCACATTTCTACATGATACTGATGACGATGTGAAAGTATCTCTTTTCCAAATGCTTTTCATAAATACTGCCTCATTTTACTGTAAGAAGCTCATAGACATCATGTACTTCTTTTATAGAAAAAGTTATAGCAAAATCAAATCACTGTTGTTTTCATCAGCAGTATGCTGATCTGCAGGCAGATATCAGGTTAAGTGTGGTAACATTTGTTACTGTATTTAGTCATTTTTTATGAGACAGGGTCTCACTGTGTAGTCAAAGCTAGCCTCAAACTCCTTGCGATCCTCTTGCTCAGCCTCCCGAGTGCTGGGATTACAGATGTGCACTACCATGCTTGGCTCTATTCTATGTTAACAACTCCATAAGCCAATTAATTTATTATCCCTAGTTTATAAGTGGGCACACGAGCTTGAAAAAGTTCTGGTCATGTTGCTATTGGAGGCAGCTGGAGGATTAGGAAATGGGTCCTCTGCCTCCTGGGCCAACATGTGGAAACACTAGCAGTTTTCTGTGAAAGATATGGGAACTAGAAACAAGACCCTAACACTTGGTGATTCCTCCTCCATTTTTTCTCAATATGTCACGAGAATGCAAGGATTTTAAAATTTAAAGCTATCTGCCACCTGACCAACTCCAGAAAATGCACTTGGGTCAGCTCAAAGGCAAACCCCTTTGGTTGGACAGTTCTGCAAATGCTGTTATCCTACAACTCAGGCTCATGAGCCTGTGCTTCCCCTTCCTCTTCTGCAGTGAGCCAGGGACCGCCACCACTTACCATGCTGAAGTGCTCCTTGTGACAGACCATGCAGACGCTCTCGGTCTCATCAGGCACCCACTGGTGCCTGGCAGGAGGTGTTTCTGGGGGCACAAATTCCAGCTGGGGCTGGCTGTGAGGAAGGCTCTTCTCCCTCGGGCTGGGGGAACGCGCAATGGAGACGCCTGGGAGCCAGGAGTCAGAGTAAAGGGTGATCACTAGTCCAGCAAGAATGAGGAGAGAAAGAGACAATCTCACCACTGTACAAAGCTCTACTGAAATAACAGGTCCAGTTGGTCAGCAGTGGCTGCCTCTGTCACAAGATATGCAGTGGGACATAGTATGCCTTTTGCTGGAAATGTACAACAAAACCTATCAAATATAATCATTGAAAAATACTCTGAATTAAGCTTCTAGATCTAGCTAGATAATGTACAGTACCAGAAATTCAGGAATCATCAGATTGTCAGCAGCAGGAAACCAATGGACAGGCATTGGTGCCATGTGCCTGTAATCCCAGCACTTCTGAGGCTGAGGCAGGAGGATCACCTCCAGCTCAAAACCAGCCTCAACTACACAGCGAGTTCAAGGCCTGCCTTAGGTGGTAGTGAGGGCCAGTCTCAAAAAGAAAAGAGGCAACCAGTAAAACCCAGCAGATGTGCAGGTGTATAGGACAAAAACCTACTTTCCTTCACAAGATAAGGAAAGTAGGCCGGGCAGAAGGAGGGCAGAATAAAAAGAAGTAGAGCGACCTACTGATTCAAAAAGAGATTAGAGCTATTTTAGCCAAATGCCATGTATGCATGTTATTTAGATTTTCATTCTAGAAATAGCAATCATAAAGAAACCAAAAACTTTTTGAGACAACTGGGGAAATATGGACTGGATATTTCATAGTAACGAGGAACCATTATTAATTCGTTTCTAAGTATGATGATATTTAAAAATAAAAATCCTTACATTTAGAAATTTATACTGCAACATTTACAAATTGATGACATATGTGAGATCTGTGGTAAGGGAATCTGGTAGAGGGACACAGGTGTACATGAACAGCAATGTCATCATGAGACGATAATTATTCTAACTGGGTGACTCCTGTGGGAGGCCTCAGTATACTACTCTTTCTTTTGTACACTGCAGGCTTTCCCTAACAAAAAGGTTCCACACCCACACCCACACCCACACCCAAAGCTGCTCAGGGTGCCTTAAGCAGGTGCCTGAAGCTGCTCACATAACCTGCAAGCCTCGGTCCTCCCCTGAGTTCTGCTGGTTATTGCAAAGTCTGGCTACTCCTCAAAACACAGCCACCAAATGCCAGTCCTGGCTTTATGGAGCTAAGGAAATTTCTAGCAAACCAATTGTGGCTAGTTACAGAAAAAGAGAAATGAAAAACAAAGCGACTATTCATAGTACCCACAAAAAAGCCTCTCCACCCCAATCCCGCTAGCCTGACCATCTGGCAGAACAGCTGCTGGGCTACTCCTGAGAGTGGGCCGCTTTGCAGGGGCGGGAGACAGGAAAGGCAGGGTGGTGAAACGGGGGACCAGAATGTGGCTGAGGCTTTTAAGGAGCTTGCTTCTTATACAGAACCCCCATGGAGGCTAAATACAGCCACTCTTCCTCACTGGGAGTTTCTGTATTTGCAAATTTCCCTGTTTGCTAAAATCTATGTGCATGTTCTCAGTGTTTCACGGCCATTCTCGGACACGCCCACACTGATGAAAATTCTGAGTTGCTCAACACTCAGGTCTCACTTGCAGCTGAGCATGCGCACTACGGAAGACACTTTCCGTATTACTTCATTTCTTCCATTCTACAGGAGACCATGTTGGCTCACTACAAATGCTATCTGATGTGACTCTGGGAATAATACTCCCTGTAAGGAAAGGTGGCACTTGAGAGCCCACTGTGCCTTGCCTCGGTTCTCTTTTGACAATGACCAGAGGATAGAGGAGAGGTAGGCGGTGTGAGAGGGTCTGGTTTTAGCTCCAAGTATGTAGTTAGAAGCCCAACTCTGGACCCCAAGAGATAAGTCACTTCTGAACCTCCTTTTTGAAAAATAAAACAGAATCTACTAGGAAGAGTTAATTTAAAAATTTAAAAATATAACCAATGTCAAATCCGAGCATGCGTTTTCCCTTGGCTGAATAGTTTGGGATTACTTTAGTGTTTGAGGAGACATTATATACACATTGTGATTAACAAGAGTTGATTCTGTGTTGAATTTCCTGCGACACACAAAGCCAGAATGAACCATGACCCCCCCACCAAAAAAAAAAATCAATAAAAATATGGTAAATGGAAATGCTGAAAAAAGCAAAAGGATCAGATAATCAGAATAAAGGGCTGGGAATAGAGCTCAGTGGCACAGCACTTGCCACTTGCTGGGCAAGCACAAGGTCCTGAGTTTGATTCCCAGTACCCCACCACCACCACAAAACAATGAGAATAAAGCAAAATTGAACCAAAGATGAGCGATTCTCAGACCTGGTTCTTACCAGGAGCAGCAGCAGCGAACTCTGCTGATGATGATCTAGACATGGTCTCAGGGTCGGAAGCCTGATGAGCAATTTCCTGGAGGTGAATCACAGAATCTGCTGAGAAGAAAAATGCTGAGAAAATATCTGTCTACTCTAAGCATGTTCACTCGGTATGCTACCATTTATGTCAAAGTGCTGTTGGTTTTCCATTTATGTCACACCATAAATGTACCAGGCACAAAGAAAATGGCGGAGGAACTTGTAAGCTGAGAATATCCATGTTTCTTTCTTTTCTTTTTTTTTTTTTTTTGCCGAACTGGGGATTGAACTCAGGCCCTTGCGCTTGCCAGGCAAGTGCTTATTCCACTGAGCCATCTCCCCGGCCCCTGTCCATGCTTCTTAAATTCCTAAAAATATAAGCTATGTGAGGCACGTGAACTAATATGGCAGACGCTAGGAATTTACAAAAGATTTCTAAAAAAGGACAGAGAAAGTGGGAGACACTTTCCACGCTTAAGAAGAGCCTGCGTCACACATACAAATGCGATCTCATGCGATTCTCCGTAAGACAGGATGGGAAAAGCTAGACAGAGATGGTTTCCAGCATACTTGGTGCCTTGAGCCTTTCCGCTGCCGTGCAGGCAACAGGTACCTGCTGTTCTTTAATTCTGTTTAGCCTCCTACTTCTTTCAAGACTAAGTTATATAAACAAGGCCTATGTCCTGCATAAGAAAGGACTATCTTTCCTGAGGTGTCCTCCCTTCAACCCAAAATAATAAAAGAGGAGAAAATTAAATCTAAGAATGTGCCATGGATTTTTCCCCTCCATATAGCATAGCTGTCCCGGAGGCTGGCAGTTACCTGTTCGTCTCTCCCTTAGAGGGTAGGGGAGTTCCAGGGCCTTCCCTGCATATCTGGAGAGCAGTGAGTCCACATCATCCATGGTGAAGCCAATCTCCTGTCCAGCCAGCAGCTGCTGCAGGGTCTGCACAGCCACAGTGGCCCAATCCACTTTCATGTTCATCAGCAGCTGCTCCAACATGAGCAGGGGGCTGGAGGACAGGTGGGAATACCTGGCCTGGTGCTGCTCAGGCAGGGTCAGCAGAACCTGTGTGGGGGACAGAGCCACAGAGGAACGTCTCAGCGGTTCACAAACAGCCGGGAAGGGGAAGGGTGCCAGAGATCAAAAGGCTCACAGTGGTGCTGCTACTGGCTAGGAGTCTTTAGAAGGCAAGGCTGAATTCCCTCCCATCTAAATCCTGCAGGTGACAAGCAAGAAGGACCTCGAGTAGCTTCACCTAATCAAGGGGTTGGTACTCTTTATCTATCAAAGGTCAGACAATAAATATCTTAGGCTTTAGGACTCATAAAATGATTACACTCTGCCAATATCATACAAAAGAAAAAACAGCAATATAGAAATGAATGGAAATGCCTGTGTTCCATGAAAACCTGATTTACTAAAAAACACTGGAGCCTAGATCTGGGCAAGAGATGGCATGGCTCAAGTCTGCTGGACCTTCAATGCCACCATTCTTTCCACATGAGGCTTTTGTCAGAATGAGCGATACAAGGCGATGTCAGCGTCAGCCGAAACCCAGTGTCCTATCGGTGTATCATGAATCTGATGATCACTAGGCCTGAGATAGGTTCAGTGGTTCTGTTCTGCTTACTGCCAATTTTCAAGGGTTCCCCAAATTAGATACAGTGCATCAAAAACATTTTTAAAATGGATATAACTTTTTAAAGTATCTGTCTGTCTGTCTGTCTACCTACCTACCTACCTACCTACCTACCAAAAGGGTTTACCTTCTTCTAGCCAGCTGCTTATCTTCATGCTTACCTGTGCTTGCTCTATGTTTTAGGGTAGCATATACAACTGTGAGTCAGAATAATTACAAGAGCTTTAGAGCCCCCCCAAACCCTTCACTGGATTATTTTTCTAGCATGAAGTTTTTTTTTTTTATTAGCATTTCCCAGTTTATATAGCAAAGTTAAAGATCAATTATTTCATCTGCTATTACCAAGCCAACTCTTTTCTATTAGTACAGATTAGTTTATCAAATAGTAGTTTTAAATCCTCACACCAGAATCCCTTGGTGAGATAGTCAGTCCCTCTCCCAAGGCAAGTTTTAACTGGTTTGGGATGGAGGTCAACTATAGGTATTTTTAAAAGTCCAAGTGAAGGCCAGGCATGGTGGCCCACGCACTTGTAATCCCAGCACTTGGGTGGCTGATACAGGAGGATCGCCTGGGTTCAAGGTCAGTCTGAGGTATAATGTGAGACCTTGTCTCAACACCTGCCCCCTCCCCCAAAAAAGTCCAAATGACTTTAATACATGGTCAGAATTGGGAAGCAGTAACAAAGAAGGCTCCATGAAGAGCAAAGACAATTTGGGAAGCTCAGGTAAAGTACTCTTTGTAGGCAGGGCAGTAACAGTATGACAACTGCTAGAAGACTCAACTGGGATACGATGGGCTGTTAAAACTATATATTACACAGGCCAGCAGGTTCTAGCAGAAAAGGCACTCAAAGAGCAGGTGGACGGTGGTTACACTAGATGCTTATAGGGTAAGCTGATTCAATGCTCCCTTGGGATGGGGTTCAGACAGCTCCAGCACCCCTATTGGGCAGGCTTTCCCCCTCACCTTGGATCCCATGTATAGTGCCTGGATTTCTCCATGTCGAACAGAAGTCAATTCTCCATAGAAGTGACTGGTGAGGTAGTTGGCCAGGAAGTGCGAGGTGGCCAAGCTGGGGTGCTGGTCGAGGGACTGCTCTGCGACCTCAAGGCACATGGTGGGGTCCGGAATTCTCTGTAGGAGCTGTTGAGAAGGGTAGAGGAGGCTGAGGTCTGCAAAAGAACTCTCAGGCCAGCATTGTTTGGTTTGAAAAAGGAATATTTAAGTTTATTCATTTTGGTGAATCCTTTCTCTATATTCATGTATCACCAACTCCATAGTTTCAGAAAAGAGCTGTGGACTGGTAGCACCAGAGTTGGGTGTAATCCTGGATCCTGCTGCCCCACCTGGAACCGAATGCAAGGCTGAACACCTCATGATGACTACAGCAGATCCCGAGGGACCCAAAGAGCAGGTCTGCGGCTGCAAATGCTTCACGTGAGATTCAGCATGAAAAGAGTCCCTGCATCTGGCTAACCTTTCTGCCCTTCCTCAGAGGAAGAACGGAAGAACCAGAAGCTTACCTGCAGAGCCTTGTCATGGTCTTTTTTCTCCAAAAGGTGGAGAAGATGCTTCTGATGTAAGCTGATTAACTGTTCCCTTGGAATGGGGTACAGACTGCCCCAGTCCTCACACAGCTCATATTCCTGGAAGGAAACGCACATGGCTTCAATTCCTTCAAGTTATTGGCTTGTCACTTCTCCAACTTTTGCCTGACTTTCCCAACTTTTGCCTGACTTTTCTCCACAATGTTAAGGCTGTGAGGCCCCAGAACATTTGGTAAGTACAGTATGGCTGGAATTACAGTGAGATCATTAATATGAGACCAAGCCAACAAGGTAAGGTAGGAGAATTACTGGAGCAGGCTGACTACAAATTTCATTTTTCTCTTGGCTCTGCTATAAGAAAGAGAAACAGGTGCCATATGGAGACCATGTGTCAGCCCTGGCGAAATGCTACAGAGTGGGAAACTGAGATGACTCTTTTCAGTGGACACAGCGATGGCTTAGCTCTGACTGTAGCAACATGAATGTGACAACCTAGTGTTGTCAGACTTCTGAAGAATTGAAAAGCCAGGTGGAGATGCATACCTGCAATCCCAGCACTCTGAGAGGCTGAGGCAGAAGAACTGTAAGCTCCAGGTCAGCCTAGGCAATTTAGTAAGAACTTGGCTCAAAATAAAAATTTGTAAAAGGGTGGGGGGAGGTTGGGGATGTAGCCCGGTGTCAGAGTGCTTGCCTGGTATGCACAAGACACTGGATTCAATCTCTTGTACCTAAATAAATAAAAAACCTCGGTTGGTTGCTGGGCCTGATGGTACAAACCTATAACCTCTGCACTCTGGGGGCAGAGGCTGGAGGACTGCAATTTCAAGTCCAGCTTGGCTAGTTTAGCAACTTAGCAAGACCTTATCTCAAAATAAAAAGGATAACAAGGACTAGGGATGTAGCTTGGTGTGAAGGCTCTGAATTTAATCCCTTGTGTCACAAAGGGAACAAAAATTGTTTTAATTAAAAAAATTTCTGGGCTGGAGAGATAGCTTAGCAGTATAAGCGCCTGCCTGGCAAGTGCAGGGACCCAGGTTCAATCCCTGGTACTGCGTGCTGTGGTGAGCCCAAACTCCAGGCAAGCTACGCAGGCCACTGAAAACGGTGTGGTGGTGCATGCCTGTGAACCCAGCACTGGGGAGGCTGAGAGAGGAGGATCACTACAAGTCTGAGTTGGGTAGCAAGACCCTGTACCAAATAAATAAATAATAAAAAATAATTTTAAAAATTTTCCTTCTGTCAACCATTATATATGCTGAGAAAACATGGGGAGGGGAGAGTAGATTTCATCCTGTCTCCCTTCTAGTCCACCATTCCCAACTCATGAACTCTATTTCTTTTCTTTTCTTTTTTTTTTTAATAGTAAAAGTTTTTTTAAGTCTACTCTCAAAAAATCAGCATTCCATGACTGTTTCCAGAAGTGAGCTATGTTATTTAGGAGTAACTTACTTCCAGCAATAGATGCATTCCTGAAAAGTCAGGTGAAGTGAAATTATCTCCATAATATCTGCAATTTTAGAATAATAACTCTTGGGCTGTTACAGTAATCAAAATGTGAATTCCAGAAAGAAACCAATCTATGTTCAGCATTAGAAAGGAGTGAAAACAAAGAATCACACTATTAAACCTGCGCACTCTTGCTTCATCTTCATTACTGAAGAAGGGAGAGGAACAGTCCCTGTTTAGCCAAAATTGGCTGGTCACTTAGCCCCTTGGTTAGTGGTGCTGAGTCTATGGCACACGTGCTGCAGCGTTGTAACTTTGCAAGCTCAAAAAGATGGGCCATTACTGCCCTAGTCTTGCCTCGTCACAGCCCTAGTCTCTCAAGCTGGGAAACTGTTGTAGCAGTTTTCCCCTCTCTCCTTTTACATCATGTTTTCCTCTCTAGTAAGTTATTCTCATCAGCACACAAATATGTGATGATTTCCTCTACCTTAGAAAAACACAAAGCCGGGCTGGAGAGATGGCTCAGTGGTCTAAAGCACCTACTTGGAACTAGCTTGGCAAAGCATCAGGGACTGCGGTTCGATCCCCCAGCACCACATGCCAGCCAGCCCCGCCCCCTGGTGGGCTGAGCTGGCCGCACACACACCACACACTCTCTCTCTCTCTCTCTCTCTCAAATAAATAAAAAAAAATTAAAAAAAAAAGAAAGAAAAACACAAAGCCAACAGCTGTTCTCTGTATCTACCGCTTCTATTGCTCCCTCGTTTTTTGTACTTAGTACAGGGTCTACAGGGTCTCACTACACACATCAGACGTAGTGATCCTGTTTTCAGCCTCCCAAATGCTGGGATTACAGGTGCCCGCCACTAGCGCCAGTCTCAATCGCTGTGTCAGCGCGACCTAGGGGCGGGGCCGGCATGGCAGGCTGGGGATCAATCTCCTGGCCCCTGGGTCTTTAATCCGGTGAGCTATCTGGCCGGCCCATGAACTCTACATTAAAGTTTCAGAAGATGAGTTCTCAGGACTTGGCCCACATAATCCAACCCAGTGGCATGTGCAGTGCTCCTGCCATGCCTCTGCCCAGGCTACCTTCTTCTGGATGATTCCTTGTTTCTCAGGCTGTGTCAGGGGCCCCGACTGACACCTGACGTATTACTATATTGCAATTACCTTAGGATGCAGCCCATATCACTCCTCTAAAATCTGAGTCACTCCAGGACAGGAAGTGAAATTAATTAGCTTTGTCTTACCACCATCTGGCACAGAGACCAGCTGTGTTCAGTAAATGTTTACTAAATGAACAAGTGCATGAGCATTAATGTGTTGAACTATAGTATATCAGCTGCTAAAAAAGGTAGATAAAATTTTAATTAATTAATTTATTTATTTATTTATTTGCGGAACTAAGGATTGAACTCCCGCCCTTGTACTTGCCAGGCAAGCGCTTATTCTACTGAGCCATCTGCCCAGCCCCCAGTAGATACAATCTTAGTCAGCTGATTTTATTGGTCAAATGGCGCATAAAAGGAAGGATGGATATGCACATTCATTTCTAATCATGAACATGAAAACTGAAACATTAGGATACCATCATTGTGGAAAATATGAAAAACTGGACAGTATAAAAGGTGGCAAGTATATACAGTAACAGGAACTGATTTGAAGAGGGATTTGGTATCACTGAGGGGCCAGAGTGCAAACATGGCATCTGTAACATCCTCTGCAGTTACCTGTAAGTATATGGATTTGACATGTCCCCTCCAAGTCCCAGGTGGGATGGGATCAGGAAGATGATGGGATCAGGGGTGCCACACTCACGGGCTCATTCGTTCCCTGATGGGTTCACGGTTCACATGCTGTCAGGAGGTGGCCACTAGAGCATGACATGGAAATGTGTATCTCTCTTCCTGGCTCTACCATTCTTATTGCTTCCTGTCTCCAGGATACGAGCCTGCTCCTCTTCCAGGCCCTTCCCACATGCCATTGATGCTCTGGACCCAGCTGGCCATGGACTATAACCATGAGCCAAAATAAGCCTTTGATCCCCCCCTGTGGATCATGGGTGTTTTGTCCCAGCAACCACAAAGTTGACCAAGGCAAGTGTCAATGTCACACTTCAGAAAAGGAGAGAAAATGTAGCATAGCTACAAAGAAAAAAAAAGGGGCCAGGGAGATGGCTCAGTGGAATAAGCGCTTCCCTGACAAGCGCAAGGGCCTAAGTTCAATCCCTGGGTGCCAAAAGAAAAAAAAAAAAGAGAGAGAGAAAGTAGTCCACACAGCCAGTAAAGGAGCTGCAGCTCGGAAGGAGGATAAAAATGGAAATGGTACCTGTGCTTCTAGAATCATTTTCATGACAGATGATGGGTCCGAAACACAGCAGATCCTCAGGGTCTGCCAATCACTCCATGCCGGAGGTTCCTGCAGGCCTAGAATCTAAGGAAAGGCAGGAAAACCAATCAAATCACACTATTGCCTCTCTCTCTGCAAACAAGTCTCTGCCCCACATCAGGCCACCTGACAGGAAAGAGGAAGAAGAGAGCAAGTGAGAAGACTGAACTCAGGGAGCCAGGCCTGCGCGAGTGGCCAGGATCAGGGTCTGCACTAGCGTGGATAGTTCTGGGAGGCTTGACGCTTGTCCAGGTCCACATGTAAGATTCTTCTGGCTTCAATGGTCTGAGAGTCATTTTTCCTGCAGCATTTTAGCTTTGCATGAGAGTTGCTGATGAGGTATGAGAAGAAAAGCCTTTTCCTCTGACATTTTCACTTTCCCTGGTGAAGCTTGAGATTGTTTTTTTCCAAGGGCCCGGGAAATTGGCGTATCTTATACATGTCATGTGACAGCTCCTGCATTTGTCCCCGAGCCTCTTCAACTGGATATAAACTGTGTGCCACAACAATCTTTCACTTTTGACACTGGCGCAGCCATGCATCCCTTTTCAAATGACTTTAAAAACAGCTTGAATTTAAGTCTTTAAGACATGCATAAAACATACGCAAAGCTCAGACATACATGTGAAACCTTTAAAGACTGCAGAACACCATCCAGTATTAATTACTTTTGTTATTATCGCCTTTGCTTGATGCAATTATTTGTTATTATTCTCCTTGCCTGATGCAAATTAAAATAAATAACATAAAAACCAAATAAAAGGCCTTCTTTGTTCACTACAAAAAAACAAAACAAAAACAAAAAGAAAAAAACTGAGCAAGGCGTAGTGGTGCAAGCCTATATTCGCAGCACTTGGGAGGCTAAGATAGGAGGATCACCATGAGTTCAAGACCAACCTGGACTACACAGTGAGTTCAAGGTTAGCCTGAAGTACATTGTGAGACTCTGTCTCAGAAAAGCAAGCAAACAAACAATCAAGCAAAAAATAGAAGTCTGATGCACAGCAAAAGGCAGGTCTAAATATCTGCTCCTTTTTCTTTTGGGGGGGTGGGATACTGGGTATTAGTCACAAGGCCTTTACACTGAATCCTTTTTTGAGAAAACAACTTGCTATGTGGTTCAGGTTGGCCTTAAATTCATTATGTAGCTTTGCCCCAAACTCACAGCAATCTTCCTTGTCTCAGCCCAAGTACTGGATTACAAGCATGTGCCAATCCTGTCTTTTCTTTCCTTTTTAATTTTTTTTTTTTTAAACTTTTAAGATAGGATCCTGCTAAAATTTAGATGGTAAATTTGTTTCGCTGGGCTTAAATTTGGAACCTTTTCCCTCAGCCTCTCTGAGTGCTGAGGTCACAGGCAACATGCACCACCATTTTCTGCTTCTTAAAATATTCTACCACACGAGAATAGACTAAGGTCTGTCACAGTAGAAGCCCGTTTTCTTCTCGCGATGCTAGGGCCCACACCTTTTGATATACTTGAAGCTCCACCTGCTTCTTCTGCAGCTCAGACTTTAGTCCTTCTTGGACAGCTGTGTCTGAAACGCAGTAAGCCAAGATCTCCAGGCACAACTCTAAGGGCCACCGATCCACAAACCGTAGGGCCAGCTGACTTCTCAGAGATGCATCCTTCACAGGAAACAGGTATTGCCAACCCTCCTTGTCTGCAAGAGAAAAAGGATACCTAGAGGTAGTAAAACTGGCATTGGAAGAGTTCAACACCCAAGTTACTTAAGATTGGGCTTCGTTTGGTCTCATAGACAGGGACTTGGTAGATCTTTAAGGACCATGTGACCCTACTTTTTACACTTGGAACCAATATATGACAAGATGAGATTCTGTGTGTTCCTTTATGTAAATCTGATCATAGTCACAGAACCTTCAGAAGGGAAAGAAGGAAGGACAGAGGAGAATAGAAGGAAGGAGTGGGGTGGGAAGAGGTAGGATGGGGAGGGGAGAGAAGGGAAGAGAGGGGAAGGAAGGGGAAGGGAGAGGAGAGGACAGCAGAGGAGGGAAGGAGTGAGGCAGGGAGGGGAGAAGGGGAGGGAGAAGAGTAGAGAGAGAGGAGGGAAAAGGAGAAGAGGGGAGGGGAGGAGAAGGGAGGGGAAGAAAAAGGAGGAAGAGGGGAGAGAGGAAAGGGAAGGAAGAGGCAGTCTTTCATGTTTGGCATGCTGCACGTATAGCAGTTTTTCAAATTCACCAACGGCATTTTAGTTTTTTGTCCCTGCAATTTCCACTCTGCACCACATACAACTACTTGAAAGTTATTTCAGGTAAAGTTTCTTTCCCTGGATATGCTGTTATTACTCAGTAGATCTCTCTCATAACTGTTTTGTTGCTAAAATCTTAGAATTACAAAAAAAAAAAACCAACAAAAAAAAACAAGGGGCTAGGGAGATAACTCAGTAGAATAAGAGCTTGACTGGCAATCTGAGTTCAATCCCCAGTTCCACAAAAAAAAAAAAAAAGAATTACAAAAAACGGACTCCAAGCAATTACAGCTATAGCCTTTCAGTGGACTTCTTCACCTTCTTCAGAAGGGATTTTCTTCTTTCTGAGGAGCACCCAAGCCTGATACATAAGCCATGCCCTACAACACACCTTACTCTTGCTGTTCTTTATGCAGCGTGGTAGGTCACTGGCTTTCCATTTTGGTTATGTGTCACAATCTCCTCGGAAGCTTTTGCATGTGTGGAGGTGGGTACTCAGAATTGAACCCAGAGCCTTCACACACATCTATATCCCCAGGCCTGTTTTATTTTGAGGCAGGGTCTCACTAAATCACTAAGTTGCCAGGCTGGGATCAAATTTGTGAAACCTCTTCCTTTAGCCTTCCAGATTGCTGGGACTACAATACGCACTCTCCCTCTTGGTTTTCAGGGTGGCTTTTAAAAGTAGGATTGTCACACAGACCCGCAGTTTGTTGTGTAAATGAAGTTTCTTTAGAATACAGCTCTGTTCACCCTTTCGTGTACTGTCACACTGCAATGGTCGCTGTGAACGATTGCAGTTAAGATGGCGCAGCCTACGAAGACTTCACAGAGTTCGCTGACCTATTTTAAAGTGATCCCTAGGCTGGAGAGACAGCGCATTGGACTAAGTGCCTGCTTTGGCAAACACAAGGACCAAGGTTCCTGGTCCCGCATGCTGTGCTGGCCCTGCCACTGAGACGCCCCGATCTAGTGCCCAAGTCTGGGTGTGGTGGTGCATGTCTGTAATCCCAGCACTGGGGAGGTTGAAAACAGGAAGATCACTACGAGTCTGAGCTACATAGTTTCAACTTTATCCTGGGCTTCTAAGGGTGGTACCCATATTACTTGTTGCTTATGGAATTTTAGAATGATTCTAGTATGCAGGACTAAGAATAGTGGTGACTGCTACAGATGTCTACTCTAAGGCCAGATAGACTTGGGCTCTAAGCTCTACTCCCACCACTCAGCACTCTGGGAAAGTTCTCTGGCTTCTCTAGGTCTTGGTCTCCTCTTAGTACAATGAGATTACCTGGCATTTTTCTCCAGAATAATTACAAGAATGTGATGATAAACACAGCGAATGTTAACGCCACCGTTATCACCAGTGAAAGAGAAAGGCATGGCTTTCTGCTCACCACACGCCACCGCGCAGCTCAGGACAGCATCCTTCACGTTGCTCAGACCATCCGCATCTCGCCCGTACGCTTCGATGAGCTGAAGGGCCCGTGGCCAATCTCTGGCCACCAGGGCTGCCTCAAAGGCCTCGGCAAGCACATCCAGAGCAAGTGGAGAATGCAGGCCCAGCAGCACAGTAGAGAGATTGGCCTGACCACACAGACTGGCTGCCAGACTCTTGCCCTGCTCAGAGGGCCCACGGAGGGGCTCCAAGGCAGCCAGCAGGGCGGCCTCGAGCATAGGGAACTGTTCCAGGAGGTGCTCACACTCTCGGGCTACCTGTCCTGCAGCCAGAGGCACCTCCCTGCGTCCACGAAGCTCCTTCCATGACAAGCTGGGCTTGCTGACCTTTGACCCCTGGGAAACCCCAAGGCAGACCACCGTAGACAGTAGCTTGGAGCGGGATTTAAGGAAGGCCAAGGCAGAGGCAGTGAGGGCTGGTGAGGATGAGTCCTTTGGGTAGGAGCAGTGCTTCTTCTCCAGGGTGGGATTCTCGGTTGGCCTAGGGGAGCCTGGTGCAGAAAGAGGAAGGTCATCCACGAAGTGGGAGGTGTACTGCCGAGCCACGACACCCAGCTGGGTCACGAGGGATGATGTCTGCTGGCTTTGCACAGAGGAACAGAGGGTAAGGGGCTCACAACAGCAGTTGATGATAATCTGTGGCACACTCAGGCTGAGACCCTCTCGGGCCAGAAGGGCTGCCAGCCTGAAGGGAGAGAAGCAGAGGGCCCGCAGGACTTGAACACACATGGACACCATCAACTAACCACTTAATACTTAGACAGCAAATGTAAATGAAAGCAACCGCCCCACACCCCCTTTTATTTTTGTAACATCGGAGATTGAATCCAGGCCTCACACATGCTGAGTAAGCACCCTACCTGAGCTGCATTTCCAGCTGTTTCTCTTTTTTATTTTTCTGAGACAGGGTCTTGCTATACATAGATCAGGCTGGGCTTGAACTCCATATGTAGCCCAGGCTGGCCTCAAACTTGCCACAATCTTCCTGTCTCAGCCTCTTGAGTGCTGGGATTACAGGTTTGCAGTATCATGCCCCGCAATAAGTTAGTTTGTTTTGTTTTGTTTTGAGGCATGATCTTTTTATACAGGCTGGCATTGAATTCACTATGTAGCCCAAGCTGGGCTCTAACTTGGGGTGACCTTCCTGCCTTAGCCTCCCAAGTGCTACAATTACAAGTGTGCACCATCATGCCTGCCCTGTCTCTTTAACACACACACTTTCTCACCAGACATACTCCTTTGGACTATCTATCTGTCCTTACCCTCTACTGAAGGGATCCTCATGATTTCTTACAGCTACGTGAGGCATTTCGTTATGTGCCTTAATCATAACTTATCTATTAGTGGACAGTGGGATCTTCTGATTTATTGTCAATACATCACTTTTCATATGTATAATAAATTTGCAGAATAAGTTCCCCAACATGGATTGCTAGGTCAAAGGGATATGAATTTGTAACTTTGATACTGTCAAATCGCTTTCTCATAAAGGTTATACCAATTTATTTTTATTTTATTTATTATCTTTTTGAGACAGAGTCTCACTATGCAGTTCAGGATGGCCTTGACTCACTTTAAAGCCCAGGCTAATCTCAAACTCCCAGTGGTCCTCCTGCCTCAGCCTACCAAGTGCTGGGATTATAGGAGTGCACTACCATGTCCAGCTAGTCCTGGCAATCGATAATCCACCAGCAAATCCAGAGAATATTTACTGTCCCACAGCCTACATAACTATGTTATCAAACTTCTGAATTTTTGCCTATATATAAAGATTCATATATAAATCTCTTATTTGCAATGGCCATGTTAGTAGTGGCAAGAAAGAAAACCTCCACTCTCTGCAGTGACCCCAAGTACAACCCAATGAAAGTTTGTCGATGACATAATCTGCTGGCTACATGGGGGTGCTTCCTACCTGTCTGGTGGAACTTGTCTTTCATGCAGGAGATGCGACACAAGTTGGGAAGGGCTCTGCTGCAGGAGAACAAAGGGATTTCCTACTTTGACCTCCACGTGCTCTGCAAAGATAGAGAAATTGACCTTATTTACCCCACTCACTGTCACAGTTCAGAACCCTGTTTCTCAGGGCTGATAAAAAGTACATGAAGACTACATGGAGAACTAGGCAAAGGGTATTCTGGTATGATTCATGCGAGGTAAAGTGTATTCTCAATGTGACACTACTCACACATTTATCTACCCCTTACCACTGCTTTAAAGACTTCAACCTAGACATACTTAGCGGGCAGGTCCAGCCATTATTCTTACTCTCATCACCAGAATGAAATGCATGCTATAAAAGTTGCGTACTCCAAATCTAAAGTGCATGGGACAGGCAGTGTTTTGGATTTTGGAATACTTGCAAATATATAATGATATATCATGAGGAGGGGATCCAAGCCTAAACATGAAATTTCTTTAAGTTTCCTTTATGTTTTGTACACAGGCCTGAAGATAATTTGCGCAACACTTTCAGTGTACCTGTATTTTAACTAGAAGCCGTCAAATGTGGAATAGACATCAGGTTGTTGTGCAGAAAGGTTTGACTGTGGCGCCTTCAGAATTTTAGCTTTTCAAGTTAGGGATGCTCGCTCACCTAGTACTTGCTCTCTGTACTCAAATAAGAATCTGGTACTTCAAAAAATTCAATTCCTCTCTTGAGTCCTTAAATTTCAAATGGATCCAGGTCTGACAGAAATGTTTATGAGTCACTAATCCTGCGAGATCTTACTGCGCACTCCCATGTGCTGTACAACTGTACGTAGTGTAGCAAGGCATAAAATGGACACAGATGAAGAAGAGAGGAGAATCTTACAAATCAAATATTTTTGGCTACGGCTAAATCCCAGAACCTCTTACTAGCCCACATCGTGCTTCCCTGCTCTGAGAGGTGAGTTCTGACTTCTATTTCCTCTTTCCTCTTCCTTACCAGGCTCAGAGCTCAAACTCTGAAGGAGAACAGAAGCCAAGGTGCTACAGTATCTGACGAAAGCACCCACGTAGTCAGTCTGCCTGCTGCCTGCTGTGGTCTGTTTGCCAAGATTCTTCTGGAGGAGTTGAGTCTGGATGTACACAGGGTGGGCCTCGGCCTCAGGAGCTTTCTGGGATGCCTGCTCCACCAGGGAAGAAAGTGGAGTACTCCTGGGCTCTGAGAGGGGTTACAGTAGGGAAGGGGACATGGGCTTTAGTGTGTGCATTCAGAACTGGGTCAATTCCTGAGCCAATAAGTAAATGAAGCCTCCTATATACACTGCACAGGGTGTCGTGTAGTTTGGATACTGTACTTGCAGGGGAGACATAAAATCCTAATTTGGCTATCTGGACAAGTGATTCTCAGCCAGGAAGAACTTAAGAGTCTAAAGAAATCAGGGCATGTGGTTGGGTTTTCACCCTGTGCCTCTAGGGTGAAATAGCTTTATGAAGAGCACAGTAATCTCTTGGGAAGGGTTAACCTGCATTTATTAAGGACCTGCTTCTCAACAGGAATGACAGCATGTATGGCTAGTGGAGTGTTAGCCACCTTTTGATGACAGGAGGGGTTGCAGGTGAAATTCCATTTTGAGCTGTGCCCTGGTGATTTAAGGGGCTGCTGGAGCCCCGTGTTGACATTCTAAGTCTCTGCTCCGAGTGCCCTGCACTCCCAGCTGTCTCCTCTCCCCAGTTCGGCCCCAATCTGCATGTCTGTCCCTGAGCAGACGGCCTGTACCTGGCAGCGTTAGAGCCTCTCTCAGTGACTGAAGGACCTGTTTCAGCTGCTGGGAGAGGGTGGTGTGGCTGGCAACACAGTCCTCGGTTAGGCGGGGCCAGCACACCTGAAGCAGCTCAGTGATGCTGCCCCGGGGAGGGGCCCCACACTTTTCTTCTGCAGTCTCTACAGAAAGCAGACAGGAAAGACAAAATCAAATCTGGTGTTCACCTAGTGTTCCATGTCAGGGAGGAAGGAAAGAGAGGGGGCAACCTACCTGACTTAGCTTGGCCAGCTGACATAAAGGGGCAATTAAGAATCTTGCTAATCTGCTGAAGGACAGCTGGAAATCCTCGAATACCATCAGGACTGGGGAGTATTTGGTCTAGCCGTCGACCTGGAAATTAATGAAGAGAGTGCAGAACATGAGCTACTTCCAGGCAATGACATTCAGTATTTTAATATTTTCTGTAGCTTAACTTCTCCAGTATTAAGGGTGAAGTGCATGTTGTGCCATTCTGGGTGACACTTGGGTTGGGCTCTCAACAACAGCAGATTGAGAATCTGGCACTCCTAAGGAATCTTTGCCCAGATATGCCCTCAGCCATGGACTTGAACTGGGGTCGTATCTTCTCTCATTATCGAAATCTATCTTCATGCACTGATTTCTCTAACATTTCCATATACACATTCTGGGACATTGTTAACCTGAACGAATGATTCTCCCTCCAATTATGCTCCACTGAGTCTTCCCTTCACCTGGTGTACACATTCACAATGGTTTCAGGCTTTTGGATAAGTCAGTTCACCCAGCAGGTGGCAGGTAATATTAAGATGGAACTCCACTCATTCCTTTTTGTAAAAAAGTCAATCTGTTCATCTAGCCTTTTGTACTAGGGAGTGAGCCCAGGTCCTCCTAGATGCTGAGCACATGCTCTACCACCATGCTATGCCCCTGGTCTTCACTTTTACCAACTTTCAAAGTTATTGCTTCATTGAATTAAATGATAAACCAGAAAACAAATTTTCCTGGATAACTAAAGCCTTCCATGCCTTCTAAGAATGTGAGACTTTCAACAGAGTATGTCAGCAGATTAGACACGAGTACCATAACCAGTAAAAAGCTTTCCTTGTCTTCCTTCCCCTAAAAACTTTCATGCACAGATGATCACATCTCTCAGGAGGCTGGCTCCTCAGCTCAGAATGCAGGTAGACGGCCAACACAGCCCACTCACCCCTGCTCTCCAGGCTGCTGTTCAGACGCCGCTCAGCTGTCTCCAAAAGCTGCTTGCAGGTTTTCCAGAGCTGGCTCTGAGAGCAAGCTAGGTCAAATGCAGCCATGGCGGGGGGACTGAGGTCTTCCAGAACCTCTCGCAGGGGAGTGCTGGGTTCTGTCAGAGCGGTGCTGATCCAGAAGTCCTCCTGGAGTGTGGGGATGGGGTCTCCGGAGGTGCTCAGCAGCTTGTCAGTCACATCAGAGATGGAGTAAAATACCATCCCTGGGCACCCAGCAGTGCAGTAAAACAACAAGGAATTAAGATGTCTCTGTCACTTTTATTATGAGAAGGAATTATGTTTAAAATGTGCTTCCTAGGGTGACAAGATAGCTTAGCAGACTAAGCATCTGCTTAGGCAAGTGCAGGGACTGGGGTTGGATCTCCAACACCACATGCCACGCTGACCCCATCCCTGGGCATGCTGAGTCAGCCATCAAGTCCAGGCATGGTGTCACACAGCTGTAATCCCAGCACTAGGGAGGCTGAAAACTGGAGGATCACTAAGTCTAAGTTGTGTGGGGAGATCTGTACTAAATACATTTAAAAAAAAATGTGGATCTCTGTATAGGATCTATGTGTATCAATACCACCATTATACCCCACTCTTACTGAGTCAAAATACAGTAGTCCCTTGCTATTTTGTGGTTTGACTTTTGTAGACTCACTGTTTTATATGAGTTTTCAAAAAATATTAATCTAAATATGTTATCATGGATTTTTTTGCCATATCACAGGATTCTGTGGTAGTGTACAGTACTATACACATATTTATATGTATAGTATTTATGGTTTTAATGACTTTTGCCTAAAAAATTTAAAATATATAAAAATATATTTAAAATGTTGCTTTTAACATATTAAAAGATATTGAAGGGGGGCTGGGGAGATGGCTCAGTGGAATAAGAGCTTCCCTGGCAAGTGCAAGGGTCTGCGTTCAATCCCCGGTTGCGCCAAAAAAAGATATTAAAGGAAATAAAATACACTGTTTACAGTATATTTCTTTAGCAGATGAATACATACTGTATGGTACAGTATATGTATGTTATTAAAATTAAGTAGGTTTATGAGTTTAGAAAATGGTTAAGAACATTAGAATGTTTTTAAAAGTGTGGGAAGGGTGCGGGAAGGGTTAAAAAGCCTTAAAATATACACAAATACTAAAATAAATACATCATTGCTAATTTTCTGATTTTTACTTATTGTGGGGGTGTCTGGAACATAACCTCCATGCGAGGGACCTCTGAAAAGGCAAAAGAAATTCACAAGGACCAAGATGAAGGAAGAGGGCCAGGGATATAGTTGGCCCTCTTCCTTCATCGTGGTCCTTATGAATTTCTTTCATAAGAAAATTCTTAGCACAAGCCCCTCCCTGGGAAGGAAAATATCCTGAGTTTGATTCTGAATACAAAAAAAAAAAGATGAAGGTAGTCTTTTTCCAAATGATATAAAAGCAGGCTTAAAAAAAGTGAAATGGACTGTAAATTCTGATCAGAAATGATCTCTAAAATACACTGCAAAAAGCAAATTAGACAACAGGATTTGTTGCAAGAGTCCACTTGCAATAGAAATATAAAAAGAATGTGAAAGAATGTGATTATATTTTTTAGATAGGCATGGAAAACTCTTGGCAGGATATATGAGGAACAACGTGTGATGATAACTTGATATAAAGAGCCTGGACCTGTAACAGATGTGATCCACTTTCAAGAAATAATGAGCACTACTGGACTCTTTTAGAATATTTTGCTGAGTTAACACACCTATAATATTCAAATGATGGAACTAAACAAAAAAGG